GGAACCAGTGTTGTTAAGGAAAGTGTATAGACTTTATTATCATAAAAACAAAAAGTTTTTTGAGAACGTCTGTTTTTTGGGTTGGCAAAAAGATCAGCGGAAAGAGTTTGTCAACAGTAAAATATAAATTATTTAATCTAATATAGATTTAAATAGTTATTAAAGAATATATATTTTTAAAATTAATTAAAATATCCAAATAATGTATTTAATATTTTTTAATTGAATTTCTAAAAAAAGTATATTGTTTGTTTTTATTATTTCAATTTTCAATTTTTTATATAAAATATTTTTTAAATAAGTATTAGATTGAATAACTTCAAACTAGAATATTTTTTATGTTATAAAAATTATTATATCAGTAAAATTATAAGTTTATAAAAATTAAATCAGAAACTTTTTGTATAATCTTTTTTATTTTAACTTATAATTATTAAAACAACAAAAAGATCCTTAAGTTTTTAAAAAAACAATCACTATAAACTTTTTTAAATACAATTTAAGAAGCAAGAAATATTTTTAACTTTATAATTTTTTAATTTAATCAAATTTATTGAAATTAGTGTTGGATAATAAAAAATAAAATAATAATAATAATAAACTATAATAATAAAGAAGTAATTATAAAACTAAAAAATTGTAAAAATAATATTTTAATTAATTAATTATTTTTTCAAATATAATATTATTTAAGAAAATACAATTCAAGTTATTAAAAAAAATCAATATTTTTTTAAAAAAGAAAGTCTATTAATAAAAAATTTTTTAATTAAATTAATTTAGATATTTTATTTATCTTTAATTATATAAACTTAAAACTGATGAAGTAACTAATATAATATTTTTTGATTTAGTAATATATAATTTAATATCTTATGGATTTATATATTATTTAATAAAAAAATCAAAATATTATATTTTTTAATATATTATATAAAATAAAGTTATATTTATATATATTTAAATATAAAAAAACTCTTTTATATATATAATATTTTTTTAAAAAATTTTTATTATAGTAATTTTTTTCACCTTTTAATATATAAAAGTATTTTATACTTTCTTTATATTATTACAAGAACCTTAAAAAAATCAAAGAAACATATTGATGTATTAGAATATGACACCTGACTAAGAAAAAACAAGTTTTGAAAGTTGTTTTTTTTTATTGTATGAAAGAAGGCCTATAGCTAAAGATAGATTTCTAAATTAAATGTGAAGACATAATTCAAATGTCTTTTACTATTAAAAAAGTTTTTTTTTAAATATAAAATCAAAAAAAACTACTTACAAAGGTTTTTTGCAATTTAGACCACTTGATCCAAGTGTTTTTTGAATTATGTTTCTATTAAAATAATGAATAAATAATTATGTCTCTTCAAAAGAAACATAATTAATCTGCAAAATTTTATATGCTAAATAATTTAGGGTCTCATTTTTACTTGTGATAATTGCTTCTTTATAAATTTTTCTTGAAATTAATTTTATTTTTACTTCTTATTAACATATACTTCTTATTAAATATATAAATTTTTTGCTTAAATGTCTTTCCTTTTATTTAAAAATCAAAGTTTATGTCAAAATTGTCTATGCTATTGATTTAGAACATTAGTAATATATATAATATTTATTTCTTAACATTGCTTAGTACATATTGCTATATTACAAAAAACAAAAATTCTTGTTCAAAAAAAAATTGCAATCAGTTTACTATTGTCAATTAATTACTATTTCAAATTCAATCAATAAAATACTATCAAATATCAAAACAAATTTATACTATTAGTATATTATACAATAATTAATATAAATAAAATCACTTTTAATAAAAATAACCAAAACAAAATTATATTACTAACAATTAAACCAATTACTTTATCAATTACTAAATATATCAATACAACAATAACAACTATTATAATAACAAACAACATTATATACACTTTATTATCTATGATAATTAAAAAGTTAAAAAAATAAGATAACAAGCCTATTTGGAAATTTTCTTGAGAAATAATAAGTTTTTATTTATAGATTTTATAATTTATCTAACTTAATTTTAGTTTTGGTAATGTTCAAAAAAATTACACTACCGATAATTAAATCAATCATTACATCAATCATCAAATATATTAATACAACAATAACAACTATTATTATAATAACAAATAATATCATATATACTTTATTATTTATGATAATCAAAGAGCTAGAGAGATAGGACAACAAGTCTGTCTAGAGATTCTTTTGAAGAAATAATTGGTTTTTTATTTATAAATTTTATAGTTTATTTGATTTAGTTTTAGTTTTAGTAATATTAATTTTTTTTTCAATTATTTTATATTTAAAAAACAAAGAGACTTTATAAAATTTTTTGAGTAAGTAGTATAGTTGCAATTTAGACACAGCTAGTATGTAATATTGTTTTGAATTTTTTTTTTAATATTAGCTAAGTGTGTATATATAAACAAGCTAGTATTTAACTTGCTACTTTATATACTGTATATAAGAGATGTTGTTTCTTTTATAATATATATCCTGTTATACTGTATATAATATCAAATAAAGAAATTATGTTTATCTATAAGAAAAACTCTCAAATATATAAATATAGATATATTTAAATATTTAATTATTATTAATTTTAAATTTATAAAATTAAAAATCTTGTATAAAAATATTTATAAAAAAGTTAATAAAAATTTAAAATATCTTTAGTACAAGATTAAAAAAATAATTATTTGTTTGTTTTATTTGTATAATAGAAATAAATAAATAAACAAATAGATAATAATTTTTATAGTAATACAATATATATTACTTAAAATTAAATATTTTAAAAATAAATATTTTTTGTATAATTTTAAAAATAAAATAATTATATAAAATATCTGTTTGAAGTATCTTTTATTTTTATAATCATTTATTTAAAGTATATGTAGATTTTTATATTTATTTATATTATTTAACAGTTTTTTCACAACAGATTACAATTTATTTATATTTTTTATTGTATAAAAACAATTACAATAAACTATTTGTATTAAAAAAAAACCATCAATAATATACAGTATATATTTGATTAAAATTATGTTTTTAGATTCAATAATTTTAATTAATAACAAAATTTTATTTTTATTAATTTAGTTATTCTTGATATTGATAAATTAAATCAATTTTATATTGCATAATATAATATAATATTATACTATATAAAGAATATTAATTAATTATTTTTTATCACAAATAAATGTTAAATGCAAGAAAATTTTTCTTTTCAATTTATTTGTTTCTAACCATAAGTTATTGTTTTTTATTTAATACTATTTTTAATAATATTAAAAGGTTTTAAACGTTATATTTATTTTTCGCAATATTTTTGTATATAATAAATCTTGAAACATCACATAGTTTTATTGTCACAATATAATTAATAAATTCAAATTGGTTTGATTTTAAGATTTTTTGAGTATTAGATTTATAATTAATAAAAATATTGCCAAAAAAATATATTTCTATTAGTTGTGGCGCAGCCACTGTACTGTACATAAATTTGGATTATCGTACGCAGTACAGTAGATTCTTTCTCCGTATATTGTATCATGGCTTTAAGATTCTTTGAAAAATTATCTGCAGACTTTTCCAAACTTCTTGATAATTGCGAAAGCTATGATGTGATTGTAGAAGTCGGTGAAGCGCCTTTAAACAAAACGTATAAACTGCACTCACTCGTCTTAGGAACTCGCTGTTCTCTTTTTGATAGGGAGCTAAAAGAAATTAAAGATTGTGACTCCATCAAAAAGTTAAGAAAATCCGATATCGCGATTGACGTTTTTGAGATTATTTTGAAGTAAGCATTTATTTGAGACCAGTTATTTGCGAAATTACATAAAATTCAATATTTACATATATTCTATTCAGATATATTTATGGTGCCGTGATTTCATTAAATGAGCTAGGGAAGGCGACCCTATTTGATTTATTGGTCGCCGCTAACAGATTTAATCTCGAAGAGTTGACTGAATCCATCCAAGTATTGCTTATTGAAAATAATTCTAACTGGTTACGATTAAATTTTTCACGGGTCCTTCGTATAAGTTTCGAAAATGAAAATTCAAATCTTAATAAGCTAAGAGAATTTTGCAATAATATTGTTTCCAAACATCCATCTACTGTGTTTAACTCTGAAGATTTCAATTCTGTACCCGAAGAAACCTTGGTTCCAATATTGAAAAATGATAATTTGCAAATTGATGAATCCCAAATTTGGGACTATGTAATTCAATGGGGGAAGGCGCAGAATAGCACTTTACAAAAAAGTCTTGAAGGATGGTCTAGTAATGATTTTGCAACCCTAAAGAGCACTCTAGAAAAGCTTTTGCCTCATGTTCGGTACTTTCAGATTCCTAGTAAAGATCTATTCCATAAAGTCAGACCTTACATTCAAGTTTTGGATCCGAAATTATGGGATGACATTGTTTGTAGCAAAATGGATCCGAGCTATTCGATATCTTCAGCTGTTTTACCACCTCGTAACATCATTAATGCTGTTTTTCCAAATCGAGAAAATGACAATGAGGACGCCACGGTCGCAGTTGATGAAAATGAAGATGGTAAACAATGTCTAATAATATGATGGCTTTTTTTTTAAATACCGAATTTACGACAATCATAAACTCATAATGCATACCTAACAATAAACTATTTTATAGTGGACGAGCAGGTAATCTTAAATAATCTTATAAAATATAATATTCATTTTCTTACTAATTAATATCGAACTATTTATACTAGCTGGATTCAGGTAGATATGATAATTTTGAGAACTTAATCTCACACATTGACTGATTAATAATGAATTGTTTTCGTGTTTTGTTTCCTGACGATAACTTTCTGATATCAATTAATTTACGTTAATTAACTTTACAACCATAGATACTGGTATTTGATGTTTAGATAATTAATATTTATTTTAGGAGTCTATGCAAAAATGATTTTAAATAATGACCAATTATATTAACTGGTTTATTTGCTTGCAGAATCAATTATTGAAGAAACAATTACTGAAGAACCAATTCTTAAAGGATTCAGATGAATAAGATGATCGGATGAAGGCATATGTCTTTTTGATTGAGGGTGTTTCTACAAATGGTAATTACATAAGTAGGGATTATGAAGACGAGGTTTATACATATGAGAGATTTAATGGAATATATGAGACTTCTATACATGGATGTACATACGAGAAAAATATCTAAATATCAAGAGACAATATTAGGGATATGGAGCAATGTGTTTGGGTTATGTAGAGGAATCGATATGCAAATCTTATGAGATATCGATCAATATGCAAGATTGTGTAAAGGAGAATCCAATATACAATATTTTTGATGATATCAGAAACATTTTTCGGAAAATATATTTATAACTTTTAATAGAATTCTGTTATTATTATTTTGCATATTAAGTATCAATACTAATCTTTTTTTTTAATAACAAGATATCGCCTATAGGTACTATAGGTACATATGGCAAATGGATAATATAATACAATATTTAGATGACAATTTTATTTTTTTTCCGAATAAATGTGGTTTCTCACGCTCACCAACTATTAAATTGGTGAATCGTTTCAGTTCGAAGTGTTTAATTTTTAATACCGAATTCATTTTTACAGTATTTTATTAAGCTCACCTATTTTGCGATAATTTTGATAATATAACTCGCAAATTCACCAACATATACTGTATTACGCATTGTGCAAACTAAGAATCTAACTAGTTCAGGAATTCCATTATTGAGAAATAAAAAAAGATTTAGAAAAAATCAATCGGTTATTAAATACTGGATTTTATAATTATTGTTTGATTCACATACTCATTGATTTTTAAAGCTTATTTCGCGGTAAAAATCGAACAGCTTTACCTTAAGTGTCTTGGGAGAAGCTTTTAAATCTTTTGGACACATGATACGTTTAGAAGTCTCCTCTTCTAATGTGATTACATCTGTGGAAATTATAGTTATTTTGTTTATTTTTAAATACAACATATGCTAACCATTTGTTACTGAACATTTTACAAAGATAAATCAAAAAGCACTTTGGTGTAGATAGTTGTTTACAGTATTATGGTATGTACATATAATGGCTAAATGCCAAGAAAACTTTTGCAAATATTGCATTATGATATATTATAAAGGTGTCAATTATTTATATTATATAATAAAATACCAAAATTGGATATTTCAAACTAATTTATTAAACTTTAAAATATTTTTTATCAATAATTTACTGTATAATATTTAAAATCATATAGTATGCACACACAATATTACAAAATTTATGATAATGTTATATTTAATAATTATCGGTTCGAACAACCGAACAGAATATATCAGAATACAGAAATTCTTGTCAGTGAAATCACAGTCTTTTAATAAATGCAAGTGCTAAAAACAACAAAGCCAAGTGTGAATGCGTTTTACTTTTAATAAAAAATTTTTTTTTTTTGAAAACCTTAATGTAATTACAGTATTGCAAAATACATGACATGTTAGCACAACTAAAGACAACATTACTGATACAGTATTTGCAAACATATTAAAAGTATACATCTATTAAAACCATCTAAAAATAATTAATAAAAAGAAACAATATAGTTTACATACTGTATTTTACTTTTAATAGTTAATTGTATTTTATAAACGATCGAATATGTGCAGCATATGCAGCACGTGCATATCTATTTACTTAAAAAGAAAAATTTACTAGGTAACATAAATTGTTTGAGCGTCCGAAGCTAAAAATTATTAGTGATTGCATAACTCTAAAATTTTATTGCCAGTAGTTCATTAGTGACAGACAGACAAGTTTGGATTTTAATGTAAAGTGCTTCGCTACGCTTCGGACAATTATTTATAAGAAGAAAATATCATTTATTTATTTGTATTGTAGTTAAACGTTGGTTAAAATAATCTGTCATCACGAGATTAAAATAATTATAATAAATTGATAAATCGAACAACAAATTAAATTATTGATGTAGATAACTTTAAATCTGTGTCAAAACTTTTTACAAAGAAAAAAAATTTTTAAAATATTGTATACTGTATAGATGGATATATATATAGTCAAAATTCAACAATCTTAATAAGCCGCTTATGAGTACTCGTCGTATGTGGTACATCATGTGTGGAATATCTTCATAAGTTTTCTTACAATAAATCATATATTAAGTATATTAACAAAATAAAATTCGAAAAGGTTCGTATATTATTATAAAGAAACGTAATCTTGCTAAAAGATGATGGACGCCGTAAACATAATTATTCGTTCCATTAAAAGCCTAGTCACTTTCTCCGCAAATTGAGAGGTCACAAAATTAGTAAGTGTGATGCGTGAAAATCGAATGTCATTGAAAATTTTCACTCCAGTTGATCCATTCATTATATTGTTCATCATGCAGAGGCTGACGATAGTGCTGTAGTTGTGCTTGATGAAGTTGCCGTTGTTGGTGATGGGATTGTTGTGAAGAAGTTTGTTTCTGCGCATAATCCATTATATTTAAGTAGGCGCCTGCACGATTTGTTGTGCCACCAGTCGCCAAATACCCGTCATTTACATTTAGACATTCCTCTCTTGGCACCGATGGTAAATTATCGTCATAATCTCCCGTTCCACCATCTCTACAAATACTTGTCTCCCCATTGAAATGTTCTTTTGTCTTACTTTGATATCGATCATGCTGAACTTCATTTCCACGTACACGACCGTTGTATTCATTGATTTTATCGGATTTGCCATTAATGGGTTTCGTAAGAAGTAACGAATTGCGATTGTCATTCAGCAAATCCAAGCTATTGGAATCACATGATTTTTCGTTACCAATCTCGGAATTTACGGGGTCATATGTGGAGTCGGGAACATTTGAATTCCTGGGTTGGATCGTTTGGTTGATAAATGGAATTGGATTGATTTGCGATGAGATGATAGGCCGCGACACCGCGTTGACAGGTGCTGACTGCGATAATGATGAGGATACCGAAAGCACACGGTGAGTGGAATAGTGAAAGTTGTTTAAATTATTTACCGAATCATTATCATTATTATCATCATAACTATTAATGAAATCTTCGTCATACTCAAGATCTGGAGTGCTAATTAATGCAGGGTCAATGAGTTGTGTTCGGTGATTCGGTAGCGGTTGCTGTTGATAAAAATAATAGTAAGGTTGGATGGTTTCCATGTTCATCGAATTTTGTGAAGAGAAACCATTATTATTAGGTGGGTGTGGTTGACGTTCTTGCAATTGCGATAGATCAGCTTGATTTGGATTAAATGTAATGATCTGATGATGATGGTTTAAGAATGACGAATGAACGGATTGGGGTAAAGTTACCGGCGATGGAAGAATGGATTGAGAGATGGACGCCGTTGATGAAGAAAATGATGTCGAAAATGCTATTGAGGATTCGTTGGAAGATTGTGGCATCGAAATGTTAGGATCATCTTTGAGGACCATTGGTCGCACATACATGTCATTTGAATCGCTTCCAATTTTCACGACCTTGCCTCTTCGCATCGTGGATTTAACGTGCGTTGCTACTGAGGTGTTTCTGTTACCACTGATTCCATTGTCCTTGGATTCGAACCCAACATTATTACCACCGAGAGAGTATGTGAGAGGCATGTGCGATTGAGATTGAAATTGCGGCGGTGACAAATTAAGATTTGAAAAATCAAAAGTAGTAGTAGGCGATGTAGGTTGTAGTTTGTAGGTAGTTACGGGAGATGTGGGATGGAACTGGTGGTTGCCGTCATAGTTGTCCCCGTGTCTGTTATTGTAAGAAAGTTGTGAAGGATGTGGTTGCAGCGAAAGAGACTTTTGAGCGAATTCAATTGGTGGGGACGCACGAAATTTCATGTTTTTTTCATGAGCTTCATAGGAATTATCAACAATTTCACCGACACTCGAACCAAAATTATCGATATTATCATTGACATGCGAGCCCAGATTATCGACAGCATTATCAACACACGAACCGAAACCACCAACGGAATTATCAGCATGCAGATCAGTGTCATCGTCGCACACATTGAACTTTTGTTGTATAGGTGAAGATTTTTCAGGAGAGGAAGGTACCGAGGAATTCGAAGAATTCGTGGAGGGAGATGACGAAGAAAGTAATGCTGCTTGATTCACGTTAAGATTCGTGACATTCGATTGAGACACACTTCTCGTGGTGGTTGTAACCTTTCTCGAATTTCTTCGCCCTTTTCGTTCATTGTTATTATCCGCCGTCCCGTTAACACCTAACTCACTTTCAACATTTCTTTCCACACAATTTTCCTGTGCACCTATCTGATCTTCGTCTTTTTTATCTTGTTGAGCATGAAAGCTACTTTTCCTCGGACGGTAAACGTAGCCAGGATGCATCTCCAGATGTAAAAATTTTGCAATCTCTTGCAGACGGGTGTACTGGCTTTTCGTCTCCTCCTCCGCGCAATCCCACAATCGACCTGCCGCAGAGGATACCTGAGGAACTTTTAGGTTGTGCGCAGAAAGATGCGTGTGTAATGCATTGCGAAACAAAAAAAAAGCATTGGGCGGGCGCGGAGGATCATTCTTTTTATTTGATTTTGCACGACGTGAGTTCTCTAGCACGCGACGGATGAACTGGGTGTCAGGTAACGGTATGGATTCAGCGGTGATGCCGGCAAGGATTTTTGAAGCGGTGAGATCATCGGGAGAAGGTTGTTTTTGAAGCTGCGAAGTGCAAATCGATTGACGACGTTTTGAACGGCCGGGGGAAGATCCGAATTCAGAGGATGGGGCAGGATTTCCGGTATTCGTATTTACCTTGGGCATGCCGGAAGGTTTGGCTTCTTGTAGAAAAAAAGAGGTTTCGGTCGTATATATATAGACGATTCGCGAACCAAACTTTCGTAGACAAACATGCAAGAGAAAAGGAATCGCGATGTTGCTAAATTTCTGAAGAAAGAGTTATTCTCATGAAGATGAATTCTGTGATCATAGAGACAAAGCAGAAAGGATGAATGGTGAGGGTAAGCGAGAGAAAGGTAAGAATTCATTCCAACTTATACGATCAAAATTTCTTAGTATATTTCAGTCGTGAAATGAAGAATAATCTGTGCATTATACAATGGCATAAAATGCAACCGAAAGACAACAGGAATGAATGTAGCCTGAAGAAGAAAGGAAGATGAAAGATAATCACACCAAACGAAATCCCTATCCCTTTAGGATAGAACAAAGGGACCGACCGAAAAAAGAAAAACTATAGTAGATGACTGACTAACTGGGAACGATTGATAAAGGTTTGACAAATATATGAATGAATGGACAAACAAACGGTGGTCGTAGTCACCGAAAAAGGAACTTACGGTAGAGCATAAAAGTGTGATTGCAGCAAGGACCCGAGGTTGGCATAAAAAATGGACGATTGTGCTTTTGTTCTCAAAATATGGAATGAAGAATGAGAGGAAGAGTTGATATTATGAAAAAAACCAAAAGGCAAATCGAATATTTAAGAAGAGCCAAAGAAGTCTAGGGGAATGCAAAGATGCATACAATTGAGCTAGTAAATTGAACCAAAATAGAATGTGCATAGAATAATACGAGTTATACTATTGTAACGAGAATTCCCAATTAGATTTGTATGTTTGAAAAAAAAGAATTTACTGATTGTGTTTAATGGATTAGGAAAATTTGGGTGGAGAGGGGAACTTGCGTCTTATTTCACTCTTACCATCCCTAAACCTTCTGCATGATTATTAATCCTAATTCATTAACAACCGTATTAATTAACGTGGGTTAGTTGGCTAGTTGGCTGGTTGGTTGGATGAAAGACCGAGATGCTACGACCGTATGGGATTGCTTTTGTTTATTTTTGGGTGCGAAATGCGGAATGACCGAATCTTAAAAATCTGTCGTATTTAACGCATCCTTGGATCAAGACGACAGCTGATAGAACAAATTTAGAAATCAAGAAAAACCGTACATTGTAATTGTATATACTGAAAATAATAACCTGATCACACACACGTATGCACAGATAACCCGGTGATGTATATTATGTTATGATAATAGAATAGCGCGTAATTTAACGCCGTCACATGTGGCAATGCTAACACCAAACAATCGACCAAAGAGAGTATTCAACCTGCATGTGATTATGTTGAATTACGGTATCATTTTTCCGCAATCGTGTGCCACATTCTGAAAACCTAGACAAAAGAAGAGGTCACATACAATCACATATGCGTTTTAGTAACTCCGTCGATTCAATTAATTTCTCATTTTGACTCATAATTCAATCGCATCGAGCTTTTGGATATGTGATGATAAGTAAAAGTTAGATGTGGTCGATAGTCGACACAGTTCAATGAAAAGAATACGCAAGGTATAAAAGAAAAACATTTACCCCACAGTTGTGCCCGCGAATCACATCGTGTTTAATTTATCTAAATTCGACTACTCTCCGGACTTGTTTACAGTATTACACCATCAGCATCAGCGCCATTCCTCTGTCACGAACACTATAACCAAAAGAGTAGATATGAGGTCACAAGCAATGATCCTTTGGGCTGGTAAGATAAAATCTTTTCGTGTCCCGGGTGTTACAATCATAAAAGAGGAGCAAACCGTCTTCTTTTGGCGATTTCTTAAAAATACTCTTAAACATGATGTTTCACACCCATTGAACCTGCACCACGTGGAGAACATGATATTAATAATAGAAAAGACGCTGCATGTTTGAAAGAAACATTTGTTTTAATCAAATATAGGTAAATTCATGGGCGTTTCCCAAGGAAATATAACATACGCGTACAAATGGGTGATGCTTGTCGTACAATCCACCGTTCAATTGCTCATCCATACATATCCTCAGAAGGCGATTGACAAAGAGGTAGATAGTGTTATCATTATTTCCTGTTTATATTTAAATAATATGAAGCGAAATAATCATGAATTTAGTTTTACCAAATATGTTATTGGAACAATTATGGATTTTTCAATTATCATTGGTCTTTGCTTGGAGATCGGATTTTCCAAATTTTAAGCCGGAAAATTGTCGCCACCTGTTGAAATCGCGAGATATTATAATGTTTTTGGAAATTTTGCAGCAATACTGTTAATACTAAATGGTGTCCCGTAATTCCAAGGTACTCGTATTCCACTTCACTATCATCAGCGAGTAATCTTTGATCACCGATGAGGATTTCTTCCAGTTAGCGTTGCTCCACTATTGTCACCTGTCGTCTCGTATATACACCTATTTAAATATCCCGCGACTCTTGCACAAAACGCTCCTACATTCTCAATGCTCTTACCATTCAAGTACGGGAATACCCAGAGGCATGAGGAGATCGCAGCGGAACGATCGATGGTAGAAATATGGTTGAGTTTTACTTTAGGGATACTATTTGACTAACGGATTTTCGATTATTATAGAGATATATAACGAATACACGAAAACCTTCGTTCAGTTGTGATGGTGAGAAGGTAATGAGGACGATGATGGGTCACCATTATTATGGTTACTTGCATCGTTATTAACATTCAATGTTGTCTGATAGCACTCGGGCAAAGTTTTGCGATTAATATGTACACGATCATTAGCGATCCCGGTGGTGGAGACAAAACGTTAAAACGTGTGTCATCACGTTTTTGATCATAATTGGTTAGTCTAGTGACTTTTTGTATGATTTGGAAAGCATCGAGAACAGTGAGAAAACAACGTGAATCCAATTGATTACAAAAATTGATAACTGAGAAAAATCATTGAATTTGATCTCATCACGTTTTTCATGATATCGATGCGACCACCGAATCCAAAATGATACGGTGATTTAAATTTTACTGGCGAAAGGTTAAAAACGTCATGTTTCAGAGTCATATTCGTCGTTACTTGATCGGAATCAAAGGATCACAGTGTGACGAAAAAATGCGTCATCACACGAACCTATCCGATCATACGTTATTGTGCAATCTTAAAGGGAATATAAAAAAAGTGTAATTAATAAAATTTTTAAAGCGCGCTAGCTTTAGTATAGCAACATTGGTTTCAAATTTGAACCTTTTTTTTCCCGTCACTTGACATGACATAAATATTTCGTAATAAACGGACGTCCTGAAGACGTTGGTGATTGTGTAATCTTGACAAATTCATTTGATCTACAGTATCATTGTAAATTACTTATTTTCCCTTGACCTCACACATAATTCGTTATATTCGAATTTATATACAATTTTAATTCGTAATCCATCTTATAATCAATTCCGTTAAGAATCTCCTTTTCTCTCTTCTCCCTTCTCGCCCATCATTCATCGAATAACATTCAGTATGTCATCGGGGATCGTTAGCACGTCCAACGTGCCGTCATCACCAACAGCTGTTACCACGAGAACCTCCAAGACCAAGGAGACCATGATGGCTGTTGAGTGGCACGGATCCACCGAAATTAAAGTTAATTACAAACGGGCAAGGCCTTCTCTCGTTGTAAGTAGTATTCACGCGGTGATTTTTTTAATGAGAACGAAGAAATTCCCACCATAAAGGAAAATCATTTCCATTAAATGCACTCAATTATTTCACAAAAAATTAGGAACAAACCGATGCTATTGTTCATGTAATCGCGTCAACAATTTGTGGTTCAGACCTTCATCTCTATCACAAAGAAATTCCCGGAATGCGAAAAGGTGATATAATGGGCCATGAAGCAATTGGTATCGTCCACGAGGTGGGTTGTGTTACGTGCTTCAAACACATGGAAAACAGTGATTAATAAATGCCTGTTGATTTTTTGGCTAAGGTTGGAGAACGAGTGAGTGCCGTTGAAGTCGGAGATCGTGTTGTCGTTTCTGCCGTGATTTCTTGTGGATCTTGTGAATATTGTAAAAAAGGATTATTCAGTTGTTGCGATAATACCAACCCTAGCAAAGAAATGGAAGAACTTTATGGTAAATACTAGGGTTTGCTAAATGACAAGGTGTGTGTGAAACTGTGATTGATTTTTCAATTCAAATCAGGAAATCGTATTGCTGGAATTTTTGGTTATTCGCACTTGACTGGTGGATATGATGGTAAAAAAATAAATTATATTATATCACTTTCAATTTAACAAAATAATGATAATAACAGCTAATCAATATTTCAGGTTGTCAGGCTGAATATGTTCGCGTTCCACACGCCAACGTGAATCTTCTTAGGCTTTCCGCCGAGGAATACAAAAGTTTGGGCGTATGTCAATAATTTTATATAATGTCCTTTTGTATACTGTACATGTATGTGCGTCTATATTAACGTACATTAATATTGCATTAAATAGAAAAAATCATTACTGCTTTCGGATGTCGCCTGCACTGGCTGGCACGCGAACGAATTGGGAGGTGTAAAAAATGGTAACTTAAATGTTAAATATTCTATTCATGATTGTTGGAAAAATATGATTAAATTATGATGTTATTCAACGTAAATCACGATGTAGGCGACGTAGTTGGTATCTGGGGTAAATATCTGAAATCTGTTGAAAGGTCTATCTTATATCTGAAAATCTCGTTCATCTCATAAATGTAGGCGCAGGTCCTGTCGGTTTAATGACCGCTGCCCTTGCTTTATATCGTAACGCATCAAGAGTGTATGTAATCGACTGTATTCAAGCTCGGCTAGACTTTGCTCGTAAGATTGGCGCCGAGGTCATTAACTTCAAGGAGAAGGATGTGGTAGGGATTGTAAAGAAATCGGTGCCCGGAGGTTTCGATGTTACAATCGACGCTGTAGGTTTTCGTTACACAAACAAATCGTGGAGGCATAAGTTGGAAAGAGCGGTATTCGCCGAGACCGATAGCGTTGAGGCGCTCGATGAAGCTATTCGATGCACTAGGAAAGGTAATAAACTCCGGATGATAGTAATCCCCCCCTTTTTTTAGAACTAACAGTCTCGATCTTTCCACGTAAAGGCGGTGTCGTCAGCATTGTTGGTGATTACTTAAATCTAGCGAATCGTTTCCCGATTGGAGCCGCCATGGAAAAGCATTTAACACTTAAAGGCGGTCAAGTGCATCCACAAAAGTATTGGTCGGATTTATTACCAATTCTCAGTGCCGATGAGATCTTTGGTCGATTATTTACTCATTATATGAAATTATCTGAAGCTCCCAAAGCATACAAAAAATTTGATCGTAAAGAGGTAATAAAAGGAAAATGTATATATATATATATTATCGACTCATCTGTTTTTCTAAAAAAAAAAGATTTGAACTTTTGGAAATTTAGGATGGCATCATCAAAGTGTTTTTGATTGTCGACGGCAAAGAGTTTGCTAATTTTGGAGAAATTTTAGAGGAAATTGCCTCATCCTCCATGTTCGCTACAATCGACACGGAAACAGATCAGGTTGAGATCATAGAAAGTGAAATTCTAACCATTAAGTCTGCGCCCGTCCCCTCTATTTCTGGCGGTGGAGAGAATCCTGCGGTAAAAGATTTGTCGACAAGAAGCGATCCTGACATACCCAATGTGTCAGATGGTAAAGGTGCCGAATCCGGAAAGCATAGCGATATCCCTATTAACAGTGCTTCCACAAATATAACCGGTGAGAATGCTTCTTCAGCCGTGAAAACTAGTGGAGACGGAAAAGAGAAACATGTCGGGATACAAGACAAAGTTGAGGGTAGGAGTGCGAAAAGTGATGTTATTAATAATAGTAGAAAAGGTTGAGCTAAAGCAAACTAAGAAAATCACAAATTCATAAATTTGGTATTGTAAGAATTTTACTGATTCGGTTCATTTTTAGACGGTTTCTGGTTTATTATTTGCGGTTTATTGCTTTTATTATTTTTGCTATTTATAAACGTAATTTAATCTTTAAAAAATTCTTTCCGACAAGGATTTATTATTTTCTATGCCGGCCTGGTATAGCATTGATTAGATTAAAGTTAGCAGATGTATTTAGATTTTTTACGATCAACGATAAATACAGTACTGTATTGTCAAGTGAAACACTTTATCTTAATGTTAATCTTAATTTACAATATTGTAAAAAAAAATTAAATACATTAAAAATAATTTCAATTTTTAACATATATAATTTAATAATTTACAATACATTCGAATTTATTACTATCTGTAATTTTTTTCACTGATACTTGCATTTAGCAAAAATTGTCAAAATATATACTGTATTTAATTTTTTTTTTTCAAAAAAAATTAATTAAAAATATTAAAAAGTTGTTTTTATCTTTTAAGAATTAAAAAAATATAAGTATTAAATGGATTATTAAATGTTTTGATCAATAGTGTAAACCAACAGTTGGTTGCTATCATTTATAAAAACATCAAAACATAAATTTTATATTACTGTATATTTTTTTTTAATTTTTATTTTTATTTTTTAATTCCTGTTTAATAAAAAAAAAAAACTTTATAAAGTTTTTATTGTTTTTCAAATATTATTAAAAAAAATCTGTCAATTTTTCTATTAATATTAAAGTAATTCTGTTCAATTCAATATTTTTTTGGATGTTTAAAAAATTTTTTATTTTAATTATTAGTATATCTGTTAACTTTGATAGTAACAAAGTCAATATAATAAAAAAAAATTTTTTTTAATTCTATTATAATTTTTACATTTCTTATATTAATAATAAAATCAAAATGGTTGTATTTCTTTCAAGTATTTTAGTTTTAATTAAAAAATACTTGATAAAAATAATATATAACACGATTATACAATTGAAATAATTTATACAACTATTTTTAATTATCATATTATAATAAAGGTTGTTACTTTTCATACAAGTATAAGCATTGTTTATATATTAACCTATACTGTATAAATTCATATGGTGACATATCTGGTTATTTTTAAATTTATTTTAAAAAACAATTATTTTACAAATATCAAATGAAAACATTTTAACTTATATTTTAATCATTTAATTCATTATTGTTGTATGCAGTATATCCAAAATAGTTTATAAAGATTATTTTGTATAGGATTTCTATTTCAATTTTAACATTAAAAATCTCACGTGGATATTTAACGTTCGGTTCGGTAATACAGTAGAAAATTCCATCGAATTTTTTATGTTTCATTTTTTTTAAAATAGATGAAACGGTTTAAGGGTATTTTTCAAACATATCGTCGAGATGATTTTTGCATTTTATACTTTTTTGATCAAATAAATTAAGTTTTAAATAATATACTGTATATATTTTTTCATCTATTTTATAATAAAAATTTGTATTTTAAGCAAATATGTATGTGTAAATAATATCAAATAAAAACGGATTTTTTAAAATAAAGTAAGACACGATTTAAAATAGTCTTTAAAAACAGAGTAAAGATTAATACTGTAAGTAATTGTCGCGATCCTCGGTTCTTAGATTATTTATTTATTTATTTTGCAATGACTAAATTTATGCTTGAAAATTTATTCCGCATAATTGTGCTTTTGTAATTCATCTTATTCCCCCAAAATATAAATAAGAAATCACTTATTAGAACTTAAAATAAGTTTAGCTTACCGGTTATTGCAGTTTAATTTGTATAACAGGAGGAGGAAAGAATGCAGTATAATAAAATTTTTACTCCTTTTATTATAATAGTAAATGTAAACAAATAAACTTTTTCCAGAGTCGCTAGGTCAATTGACAATTGATTTGAAACATCCAAATGTGTATACTGTATGAGTATGTATGCAATACTGTACTTACATTATAAGGACATAAATTCTTCTTAAAAACGATGAATTTTTCTTTATAAGAACTAATTCTTTTGTCCACCATACTACAAATTTTCATCATGTACATGCCGAGCGAAGCAAATATGAATGGCAATAATATGAATTATATGCCTATGCTATTGAATTGGAATACGGAAGGATTATACGTTGTTTTCTCCTGGTGGCATCCTAACAACATTGGACTCTTGCTCCTTTCGATGTTATTCTGCGTGCTACTTGCTATTGTCCACGAATTTTTAAAATACTTATTGAAATATGATCTGAGGCTACGCCAGTCACCAGATTTAGAGAAGAGTAAGAAAATAGAGGCTGAAAAAATCATAGGGTATCAAGTGTTTTCGGATTTTTTCTTTTTTTTTTTTGAAAAGTGTTCACATTATTGATTCGTGTTTGCTTGCTTTTGTTATAGAATAAGTTATAACCAACGCGTTCTCCGTACTCTTGTTTTCTCCGCCCAAACAATTCTAGCCTATTTTCTTATGTTAATAGTCATGACATATAATGGCTTTTTTATTCTTGCGGTGGTGTTAGGGGCAGCAATCGGATATTTCATTTGGGGTATGCCCGCAAAAACAAATTCATCGGTTGAAGCATCTACAGTCTGTCATTGACTATGCCGTCCATAAATTTATACATTTTTTTTAAAAAAAAACTTCTCTTCTCTGATAGTTGAGCATTTGTTTTAACAATAAAAGAAAATTTCAATAGACTGCAAAAAAAAAAAAAAAATCTAAAATCCAATGTTTCAAAATATGAATTCCATCAATATCATGTAACAAGAAATATGCGCGATTGTTCTTTTCTCCTAATCGAATTTCTCGAAGATGAGCAGTTTTCCTTAATTGAACTTGGCATTACGTAACTGCATGTGATACAAGTTTCAAATTATTAGGTCCTGATTCTTCTACAGTTTTGTTTGTTTTAAGATTATGGTGATATTGTACATAGTTTCAATTTTACAATATTTACTATATTCATTGGATGGACAAAAGTTTTAGGTAGGAAATAATTAACATGAACTTTCGTTCAAATCTAATATTGATTGATTATACAGTACACCAAATACAATAATATTTATATAGAAAACTAATCAATGTAAGGGGGATGAAGGTAAGATTGTTTTTTGTCAAGTCTTCTTCATAATACTAGGGGCAGAGATTTCCAATTTTGGGATTATTTCATTTGTTTTAACAACACTTATAATCTTTTCTTATATTTGTTCATTATTAGTTTTGTTATATCTTTAATTACTGTATTTGATAAACTGTATTTTGTTTTTGTTAATGAAATATTTTAAATTTTTTATTGATTCTTAAATTTTAATAATTTGAACAATTTTATTAAATTTAATCAATTCTAATAATTCTTATAATTTCTGCAATTCTTATGTCTTGTAGAACTAATTATTGTCAAATCTATTGTTAATTTGTTTATTAAAATTATCTTTTATTATAAATCTTTGTTTTTATTGTTACTGTCTTGGGAGAACAAAATGACTTATAGTGAATAGAGCATTCCTATAAAATAAAAGAAAATAGAAATGGAATAAAGTAGAATAAAGGAAAATATTCAAAGAAATATCAAAGAAAATCAAAAGAAAATGAAATTCACAATCAAATATATTGAAACTTTCAGTTTCTCCTTTGACAGATTTCAAAATTACCGATAAAAATAATTTTCAATTCTCAATGATTTAATTTATTTAACATATGTTTTGTTTTAAACACTATTAAATAAATTAACATGAACAATTCAAAATTATTGTTTTAATCAATTTCACAACTCTGCCTTAATATTGCAATCAAAAGATAACAATATAAAAAAAATATGTGATAAATATAATTTTATTAAAAGAAAATTAAAGAAAATACAAGAATTCGGAATTTTATAATTATAATAATTATTTTTTTTTCATAGCTAAAGGAAATTGCAACCTTTTTATAATGTTTTGGTCAATTGTAGGTTACTTTTAATTTAATTATTTATGTATGGTTCATCTATTTACACAAAAGAATTGGTTAAAGAATTATTTGTTATACTTAGAATAATAATCAAAAAAATTTTGTTTGTAAGATAAAAAGTAAAATTACTTGAAATATTATTAAGGCAATTACTTTGAGATCTTAATAAAAATTATTTTTTTAGTTTTTTAACAAATAGTTGCTTAGAATCTCAAAAAAGCTTTACATCTTGATTTTTGAGCTGTGGTGCTTTGAATTTGCTGAACTGTTTAAAACTATATAAATATTTTAAAAATTCTTGGAAAAAAAAAGAAAATATATAGAAAATATAATTAAAATTAATAAATATGGATAAATTGATAAATGTTAATAATATATGATAGTGTTTATCTAAAGTTAATAAAATTTTCAAAAATTTTAGTAACAGTAAGAAAGATAAATTAGCTTAAATAGACTTTGTATATACTGTATATAATTAAATATAAATTATTTAATAAAAGCATGTATGTTATAAACATTTTTTACTTACAAAAAAGTTAATTTTTATATTATAATTTATGGTTTTTCTTAAAAACTTTAATAATTTTAAGATATTTAACCAATTTGAATTATAATAATAATTTATTGTCTGAAGCAAAGCGTAGGACCTATACTTTCACGCATAGTGATATTGAATGTCTGTTTGTCCGCACGCCATATCATTCAATAAAATTCACTAAATTTTATACTCCGCATACATACAGTATCAATATAGTTAAACCGCATACATACAGTTAAATAAATCGGTAGGTTTTCACAAACATATTTTTCGCTTTTGTGTAATTACACTTTTGGTCCACTAATCATTATGAAATTGCCAGATAAAAATGTCCAGATGTGACTTTGCATATTGTCATCCAATTAGTGCTTTCGTTCCTTCATTGCCTGCTCTTGTTGCTCTTTGTCTTTACTCCCACCTACTGCTCCCGACGTGAAGTAAACTATAATGAGGGTGTACCCTTTGCGTGGGCCATCTGCATTGTGAGGCCATCGATGATACATCTTTGCATGGGCCATCTGTGATAAGATGCGCTACACACTCGCGTAAGCCATCTGAGTGAGTGTGATGCACTACATCTATGCGTGGGCATATATTATAAATAAAATATATTATGTCTTGGTGTAGCTTTAACAAATGAGTTTGTATGCTGACATGTTACGCAGCGAGTGAATCGTTAAGATCGAAATAAAGGGTGAATGAATTTACACTAATGCACTACATCTTCGCATAGGTCATCTATATTATTGTATTATCTATATTTCCAATGCTTCATCATTCCTTCGCCTGTTTATAGTTATAGGGTATATGTTCATAGGATATATAGTCATGTACATAGTGATATAGAGGAAGTATGGGTATTATGTATAAGAATGATATAATGAAAAGTAATATTGACATGTGCAGGGAATAGCATAGCGAGACACCTTTACCATAGTTTTATATGACATAATAACGGAGTGAGAATAATAAAAAAAAAAAGTAAAAAAAGTTTAATCCATTATCATTTTAAATAAACAATAATTTATTAACATTCTAAATAAAAAAAAGTATCTTAAATTTTTTTTTCGTTAAACTTTGTTGTCTGTATAATGAAAAATAAAAAGAAACTTAGTCAAATCAGCGATTCAACAAGAGATGATAAAAATCATGAACAACTTGAAACACGTCGTGTTGCTGACCATATTAGTAAACGTAGAAGAAGGGATGCAGAAACTCTGCATGAACGTGAATTGCGTCTTGCTAATGAGCGTGAAAGCAGGAGAAAAAAAAGGGCCTTAGAAACGACTGATCAACGTAAAGTTCGTTTAGCTAGAGATCGCGACCAAAAATGACAAAAAAGACAACAACATGCCTTGAAGAATGCTGATGAACATCTGAATCGTCAGGATGAGCTGCCAGATGAACATCTGAATCTTCAAGATAATATTTAACAACTTTCCGATTCTGATCATATGCTTCTGCAAAAATTTCATAAAAAGATGAACAAACTCAAGAATTCGTCTTGTTCTGTGTGCAACGAACACTTCCCATCAATTAACATTGTCAAAGGATCAATGTATCGTCACTGTTACAATGATAAAGGTCTGGTAAAAAAGTTTTCTAAGGGCAACAACATGGACCCGGGACCTGTACCTAAGGAATTAAAGGATCTCACTGAAATCGAAGAGATGCTGATCGCTCAGACTTTCCCTATTATATCAGTATACTATTTTCGTGGTGGTCAATACGCCTATCGTGGAAATGTGATAAACTTTTCACAAGATTTAAATAAGTTTATATCACACCTTCCTCGCCATCCTTCATCATTGAATATGCTTATTGTACGTCGCCAGTCTGTAGAAGATTCAACTTTATTCAAGAACTTTACCATTTGCTGGGATAGAATTAGACAAGCACTATGTTGACTAAAGAAACATAATCATTACTATATCAACATTACAATTGATAATGATGTATTAAGTTCTTTACCTGAGAATGGTCCTATGGATAGGCATCTTCCACAACTTCAAGACATAGAAGACAGTCTTAAACATATAGATGAAGACTGTTCGAATGTATCTGACAATTGTGTAGAAGATGACACTGACAATATGATTGTACATAATTTTGTTCCAACTCTTTTTCCCTCACCCAGTGAAGAACATGCCATCGATGATGTTCTTACTCGAATACAATCAGATTCTAATCCTGTTATGTGGCCAACTATCAATGCCAATGCTATTAATGAATTTAATACCCCAGATATATCGCTCATGCCTTTTCGACTTTATATCCGACTGGTGATGCTGATTATCTAGAAGGTCGTGTCAGAGAAGTCAATCCAGCTAAATACTTCTAACATTTCTTAAGATATAAGGATAAAAAATTTGCACAGCATCCCCGATGGCGATATCATTCTTTTAATTCTCAAATGCGTTGGCGTGCCTTAAAGGAAGGTAAAGTTTATGTCAAGCAAGGTCTAAATGACAGACAGCTCATAGTTGAAGATGTTCAGGAAATGATCAAGACTGATACTCATTTGGCAAATCATGTTATGCATTTTGGTGAAGGTTTGCATGGCATTAGACAATTTTGGAAAAAGCGTAATTTAGAATTGTCTAATATGATCAAACAATTAGGAGCACAAGGATTGATTTTTTTTACTTTTAGTGCTGCTGACTTACATTGGCCAGAGCTCCACAGGCTTATGCCAGATCCAATAGATGTAGAGCAATCAGAACAGGACTGAAGCAAGTGTTGACGACAAGATTTGATCAATAATTCACATATTACCGCCTGGTTTTTCGAAAAACATTTTGAACTATTTTTGAAAACCATTTTGATTCCTAAGTGAAATTAGAGGACTGGTGGTACAGGTTTGAGTGGCAGAGTAGAGAGAGTGCATATGTCCATGGCATCGGAAAAATACAAGATGCACCTTTAATCGATTGGGATAATATGAAAGATAATAAGGAGTTAATGTCCAGAGTCTTGATCTATTTTGATTCTTTGGTTACTATGATAAATCCATGTCTTGATACTCCAGTACCCGACTATCATCCTTGCCAAAGGGATAGTACTGAAATATGTGATGACTTGCAGAATTATGCTGAACTCATCAATAAACTACAAAGGCATATGAGGTGTAGTTCTTCCTACTGTCTTCATGTCAAAAAGAATCAACAATATTGTAGGCTTGGTTATCCAAAGGATATTGTTAAATGTAGCTTTATTTGTGAAAATGATTGTGGCCAACCAGAGCTGATCACAGCAAGAAGCAAACCCCCATAATCGCCTTCAACTTCAAGGTTGGCGTGCAAATGTTGATCTTCAGCCCATTCTTAATATTCATGCCGCTCTACAGTATGTTACCAAATATACCACCAAATCAGAACCATGCTCTTCTTTTTCAGAAATTTTAAATAAGATTCTTTGTGAAAGTGAGCCTTCTGCTTCTTCTCTTGGATCGTTTCAACGTTTATTGCTTCACACTGTAGCTGAACATGATTACTCTGCACAAGAAACCTGTCACTTGCTTCTTGGCATCCCTCTCTATCACTCAAGCCATCAATTTGTTATATTGAATCTTAATGATGAATCACCTCGATGGCTTTGCAGAACTGGAAGCACTGATGAGATGATATCTAATGATATTGGTCGAACAGAACAATCCTCTTTACAAAAGTATTGGAACAGACCTATTTAATTAAAGAATATTTCTCTCTTTCAGCTTTATTTGGGGTACAAGTTTTATAAAGGTAAATGGCATAATTGTAATTGTGAGAACATTGTATGCATTTGGCCAAGACCATCACCTCAACATAATGCTCCACATTGGGATGAATTTTGTCAATAAAGATTGCACTCCATGTTTCTCATCGAAATTTTCAACAATTAACTGAGAACTATATTTTTACGTGGTCTGATCTTTTTAATCGTAATCTTGCAAATATAGAAGATAAGCTTACTAATCTACTTGGTCCATCTGTTGATAATGTGGAAGATAAGTCTGATATTGATGATGATGAACAATTGGAAGTTAATGACCGTGATAAAGAAATGTGATTGGATTGGATGATTTTGTCAGAAATGGGTCTGAATGTAATTGTTAGTTCATCCAACTTAGGGTACCATAATGTCGATAAAAATTATAACTGGTTTAGTGATGTTAAACAATGATATCCTAATATAAGTTCTATTAATTTATCTACTTTTGTGCAGCAATCTCATTTTGAAAGTGACATTACTGTTAAGGATTTTTGTGATATAGATTATCAAACATTAAATGAGATTCAGATAAAGATATTTAGGCTAATCGAGTCACATTATAATACTGTTGTCACAAACTATAATCAAGTTGAGCTACTTAAAATTATAATAATGGGAACTGCAGGAACTGGTAAATCATATCTAATTAATGCAGTTCGAAAATGACTTCGAGAGATGGCCAGGGATAATAATATCGAAACTTTTCCTGCAATTGTTATTACACCAACTGGTGTTGCAGCATTTAACATTCGTGGAGCAACAATACATTCGACTCTTTCAATTCCAATAAGCGGCACTAACTTCAATATAGAAGGTGAATGATTGAATAACTTACAAAAAAGGTTAAATGGTGTAAGCTATGTTATAATAGATGAAAAAAGCATAATAGGTTACTGCATGCTTGTTTTAATTGATCTATGTTTACATATGGCATTTCCTAAGCATCGAGATCAGTTATTTGGTAGTAGGTTAGTCATTTTAGTAGGCGATTTGGTCAGCTTCCTCTGGTGCTTGATGATCCAATATATGCTAAAAATCTTAGTCATAAATTATTGTTAAGTAATGGTATAAGGATATATAGTCAATTCCGAGAAGTATATCGACTTGAAGAAATTCATCGACAATCTGGTAATTCACATGAATAAAACGAATTTAAAAATATTTTAATATGATTACGTGATGGTGACTCTATAATGGATGATTGAAAAAAACTTTCTGCACATTTTGATGATTCCTTTTTCATGAATTATAACCAATTTTTGGATACAATTATACATGTGGTGTAAATTATTTTGCCGTTGACTCAATTTCCAAAATCCTCAAAAATAATTGTGTCATGACTCAATTATTTATATGTTTTAATAGTGACTCAATTAATTGCATCAAATAATTGCGTCAATTGCATCAAGGATCTACGAATTTCAGCAACATGTATAAATGTAATATACATTATTCCCCGAAGAACAGACGTTAATGAAATTAACTTAAGTAAACTCAAATTATTGAATGCTCCTATTGCTATAATTCATGCTGTTCATACAGGTAATGGGGCTTTTACTGCTGATGTTGATATGGCAAAAGGTCTTGAACCACAACTGTTGTTGGCCAGGGGTGCACGTGTTATGCTTAGGACAAATTTGTGTATAAAAACTGGATTAGTTAATGGCTCACTAGGGACAATCGATAATATTCTATTTGAAGAAAACAAAGGTCTACCTTCTCTTCCAATTACTGTTCTAATAGAATTCAACAATTATACTAGTTCTGTGATTACGTCTTCTAAAGAAAAAAAGGTTATTCCAGTTACTCCTATTTGACGTTCTTGAGATATGAATGGAAAAACTTGTTTACAATTACAAATTCCTGTTTGTCTTGCCTGGGCTATCACTATTTATAAAAGTCAAGGATTAACACTACAAAAAGCTGTTATAGATTTAGGAAAAAAAAAATGTTGCTGGCCTTGCATTTGTTGTAATATCCCATGTCCACGCTTTCGAACATATTCTTTTTAAGTCATTTTCATTCAATAGACTTGAACAAATTAAGTTTTGCAAAAGAATATAAGAAAGAAAGGAAGAAAAAAAGCAATTAGAGTCTTTAATATCTCAAGTGTAATCAAAAAAGAGCAATTCAGAAAAGCAGATTATATTATTGTTTGGTAAGTTTTTACAATCATTCGTTATTTGTATAATGATAATTGTTGATGTATTCTTAATGTTAGTCAACTTAGCCAATATCTTAATTTAGAAATGTTGACTTTAAAATTTCTTCCAGGACATGTATTTAGAAGTTTATTAATATGATAATACAACATAACAGAAATATGCTTAATGTAGGCAGTCCGCATATATGTGCAACCAATTCAAAATATGTATGTGATAATTTATTATATGCATTTTTAACCTTTAAAAAAATACGATAAAATGCGATAAGTTAAAAAAATGTTTAAAAAAATACAAAATTTTTATTAT